CGGATTTTTCTGCCCATCATTCTTTTATTTTCTCAAATTAATTAAATTTTTTTTAAATTTTCATTTTATTTTTTATTGATTTTTATTATTAATATTTTATTATTTAAATAATTTTTAATAACTAATAAATATTAGCATATTATATATATATGTATACGTATATGTATAAGTATTATACTCAATATTATTTATGTGAGGCAGACTGAAATAATATTGCGAGAGATTTGATGGTCACAGGTTGGCGATTAGTTTTTATCAAACCAGCATTATCTAAATTTTTTTGGATATTTTTGGCGGCTATCTCAAGGAAATATCAAATATAATAAAGCCTTCGCTAAACGCTATCTTTCTATTCGTCGGAAAAAGGAGAGAAAAGAGAATTGTTGCGTTCCTAAATTTGTGGGATTAATTAAGAAATTACAATGCATCATAGAATATAGAATAGAATATAGAAGGAAGCAATAGATCCATATTATATCTCTAATGGCATGTGGGACAGTTTTCTTAAAAAAGATAAGAATTGCATTAATCCTATGGCTTGGGATTGAGATCGGCTTGAGAAAGAGAATTGAAACATGATTAATTTGACGCGGGAAAGTAAACCGTTCACATGGAGTGGCCCAAATTCTTTGGTTATACTTAATGATATGCAATTTTGCGAACTTCTAATACTTTAGGTTTTCAGATTTAATAATTCCACGAGATGGAAGAAATGAAATCGTTATAAGATTTCACCTAAGTTTTGATGAATTATCAATTATCAGCAATAATTTTTATTATATTTTTATTATATTTATTATTTTACTTTTATTATATATAAAATTTATATGCATTATAAATATAAAATAAAAAGTGCAAAATGATTTCGTTCCATTTGCACTATTTATTAGCACTATTTATCTATTTATTTATTATTTATTATTTAATTTTCATATATTTTAATTTTTAATTTATCATTTATTATTCATTTTTTCCATTTTTTTTTCATTTTTAGAAGTTCGATTTTTCACATTATTTTTTTATTGTTAATTTTAGCTGTCATTTGCTTGCGATGTTGGTTTTAGTTTCATTCTCTTTAAATAATTTCACTAATTAAAGGTTTACACTCTCTCTCGTTACATTCAGTTATTTGCATCTGTTACGGCCGATTCAAATTCTTCCTTTAACGAGTTATATATAAGGTTTTCCAAATAGATGACAACATCTCTAAGCATTTTATCCATTTAGTCTATTGAAATTATTATAACTCTTTATTCACGCTGCCATATTAAAACGAAAGTGATTGGAAAAAGGATAATGAAGTAAAATGCATTCGATCAGTGAATATTCCAGGTAAACACAATTTAATTTAATTTATTTTTCTATTATTTTTCTTATTTGGCTTTTTTTCTAATTTGTTGCATTTAGAATTATTTAACATAAAATAAATAATTAAAACTAAATAAATATTTGTAAGCCTCATTACTTTAAATCTTTCGCCCTTGTATAAACGTCTCATTAGGTTCACCAATACTTTTATTATAGCCAGAAACGGCATAAAAATTAGGAAACTGAAAAGTTAATAATCAGATAATCAGATAATCAGGTTACTGGGTTCTATAAAATTATCTTTATTTCAATTTTTTTTTCAGACTATGTGCTGCTGAAGTATACTATGGAAAGAAGGATGGTGGGGATAGATCATAGGGATAGTTCAATAGAAATATATATATATAAGCAGTGGTTAGCTTTGAAAAATGAGACCGAAGCAATGCCGTGTGACGATTCTGTTAATGCATGTGATATATAAGTGATAATGGATGTAGTCATGTTCGTCAGATTTGGAAATGCGAATATCTAAATCAAGAAGATGGATTCAGCATGTTTCATGAACGATGTCTTATCAAAAAGAGTGCTCAGGAACAGCTATGATAGCGCAAAATCAAATCGCTTGTTCAATAGCTTATTTCAAATCCCAATTCATCATATTCTCCAGGAATTTTGATTATTGTTTTTTGCACTAAATCAGTCTTACAAAATAGTTATTCGATTAGTTGTACTCTTTATTTTCTCAATTTTTTCTTTTCCTTCATTAAATGCTGCTCTGATAAATGAAATTTGAAATTTTTAATCATTGTTGCATTTATTATTTATTATTATTAATCTTTTGTTTTTTCTAATTAATATTCGTTAACTGGTTGCTGGAACAATATTTTGTGGCACACTTGCAGATTGCACTACAAAAAATAAAGAATCACTTGGAGAAAGCCGGAATGTCTCTAATAGTTTTACTTTCCCCTTCTCTGCAATCATAAGGCACGAATAATAGTAGTAATTATTATTGTATTGCCTTTGATTAAGTAGAATTTCGAATATTTATTTAAGCCTTTTGAATATGTTTTCAATAATTTATTCAATTTTTTTAATTTTTTAATTTATTTATTAAATTAAAGAGTAAAATAAGAAAATTTCAAAAAATATTATTAATGGCGTTGGAAAATATGCAAAAATTAAAAGAATACAATTAGATGCTTATAAAAGTTTAGAAAAATAAAAAATACATTGAAAAATTTTTTACAATAATATATACAAGCATAAAATGTTTATATAAAAGGATTTTCACATTTATATTGTTTTCGACTTAATTTCACTTAATTTTAAAAACATTTTAAAATTTATTGAATTTAATGTTGGCTGGTTTTTCACCTATTTAGCAAAGTATTTCGACCGCTTTTGTTTTATTTACAAAATAAAATAAATCGTTTCATTTAAATTACTTTTTTCATTACATTACATGGATTGAAATATTTTAAAAATTAAATTTCTAAAGGAAATTTATTTTATATTATTTCCAAAATTTCCTTTAAAACATAGTTGTTGATTTTTAAAATATATTATAAATCATTTGAAAACTCTGTTCTTTTGTAAAATTGAATAATTTTTTGCAATAATATATAGAAAAAATAAAAGATTTATATAAAAGGATTTTCACATAATTTTATATTTTTTGCGACTCAATTCACACTTTTTGCATATTGTTTCATAAAACTTGCATATAATTTCGCAACTTGCAAATAAAACATCACATGAAATTAATATAAAAAACCGAAAGGTACGTGCATGATGCCACTTAACGGAAAATGCTCCTGTGACAATTAGCGTACGCCTCGGTCTTTTTTCAATTGTAATGACCTCATAAACATATGAAACTATGAAAATTATCTGAGAAATATATTACTATTTCAAAGAAATTGTGCTAGCTATGAATAGTATTTGAATTATATAAAGGCAATCAGTACAATTCACCTGAAATTAGACCAAAGTGCGTCTAGAAGCGTCTAGAAAGGAGAAAGCAGAAAAACTTAAATAAAAAACATCGAACGAATTGAATTCATAAAGGAATGTGCTTCAAAAGTAGATTTAGAGGTCTGAAGACAAGTGGAGCAATGGTGGTTATCTGAAAGACGACTGCTCAATTAGCTTAAGCAAAGATCTAGGACTTTAAGCCTGGACGACAGTCTACGATGGTACTAGTGGTACTATTAAGGCAGGTGAGGAAGGAAATCTGAGGGATTATGTTTGCTCATAACAAGAAAATTTAAAAATGGATAATTATTTTTTCCATTACCACCATCCATGTATCATGGTCTTAAAGAGTGATAATATATGAATATGAATATGAATAGTGTTTGATATAAAGATATTTGATATAAAAAGATTATGGAAAACATTCAAACGGGAGTTTGCTTAGTTAAAGACGGTCTCCATTTTGAGGGTGATTTGGCTGGCGACTTAATAAAATGTCTGTTCAAATAGTTGGAAATACAAAGTAATGGCTGAGTTCCAAGTTGCTTCAGCATTGTGCAAAATCCATTCCTTCTTTTCTTCTTTGATATCCTACGGCACGACGAACCCGCTATGCCTTTGATTCTTTCAACGAAAAGATCCTTTGCTGCGAATAGAGCTGTTTTTTGTCAGAAATTGCTTTATTGGTTAAGGTTATTGATTTACAGTAATTCTTATAATTCCTCTCTTCTACCATACGCCCGTGGTATCTCACCATCATGCCTTATTTTGCAATTTTATAATTCATAGCCACATCCATTATTAAAACGCAGTAGATGTGGATTAAGAGAGTAAGTGGGAACAGTTCTATTTGTGTGTGATATGTTAAGTGGTAAAAAAGATTATGGAAAACACTCAAACGGGAGTTTGCGACATTTATTAATGAGAATTTTCACAAAAACTACTTTTATAAAAAACAAATACATAATAAATCATAAATATATAAATAAATCGATAAGACAGAATAATAATAAATTTTTAGAGAATATCAAACGTTTCAGTATAGCCGAGATTTTGCAGGCAAAGTAATCGGTTTGCAGAGATCATTAGTGGGCTATAACAAAGGACCTTGAAGGTGTTTTGGCAGTGCTAAACGTAATAAGATTAGGGAACATGTGGGGAATTAAATCGCTACCCTACCCGAGAGAATGTGATGCATGATGGTCGAGTAACGAGATTCCACTGAGAGCTAAATTGTTATTGAGAGGCGGCATTGGTACCAAAGATTTAAGGAGGATTGTAGTGTATGAAGACATTAAGAGAACATTTAATTGGAACTGGTTAGTGGATTTTCTTTCGATTATTTTTATCTAACATAACAAACTTGTTTCAGTAGTTCGAAGAACAATTACTGAATGCGACAAATGGAAAAAGGAATCGGATGAATTTTTTTTGCTTTTTAAAATATTTATCAATGAAAAAAATATAGTGAAATCAGACTATGATTTGAAGATGAAAGAAATTTTTGGGCAAAAAGTAAAATTTTAGATTAAATTTCACCAGTTATCAGTTTTATCAATTCACTTATCAATTCTATGAAGTCAAAATTAATAGAAATCCGTTAAATCCGTTCAAAATTAATAGAAATTGAATAAATGTTAATAGTTAAAAAATTTATAATTCAGAGTAGAAAAATAGAATTCTCACGAAATCGTTTTTGTAATATATTACGAGAAATGAGTGGAATTCAGAATCTATCAATAAAATATTCAATTTTTCGTAATAAATCAATGGTTGGCGTTGCAATTACATCCGTTAAATTCGAATGGGTTGAACAAAAAGTATTTATTTGCAATATATTTGTTTATCCTGTTTTTTGCTTGGCCAATAAATTTATTATCTTTAGGTTTGTGGAATTATTAGGGGAATCTGCCTCACTTTTGCATGAGAAATTCCAAATAACAATAGTTAACAATAGTTAATATGCTATATTGCTTTGATTAATATAAGTCAAACAGTATGGATTCGATCCTTGAAAAGAGTAATATTACTCTCAAAAATAAAACCAAGGCATACTTTGCCTCCAACTGGCTCACAGTCACATAGAGTGAATAGGGCCAGTCAACTTTTCCCTTAGATGAGAGAGGTAAAGTTACATCGCAAATTTTGATTCGCACCTAAAATGCGATGCAATCAATAGATTTAAGTAATACAATAGACAGTAAAGAATTCTATAAATTTTTACTAAATTTTAAGGTGAAAAATGCATCTAATCGACCATTTCTATTGCATTATGGCGTAAAAGCACCAAAAGCTTCATACATTTCGCTGAAAGGACCCATGAGGATTCATTCAAATAAATATATCGAGGTTGTTAACATTACTATACTGTTTATTTCTTACTTTACTATATAAAGTAAAAGCAAAAAATTGCAGAGCATTGGTATTCCACTGAAGATTGCTAAAGAGCTGAATGAAGGGCTCGCAGAAAATAAGCGAAATTTCATGTTAATTTTAGTTCGGCCGAGAAATAAGGGAGCAATAACGGATTTGAAAACAAATTTTACGGGCACTTTAGCCAATGAAATAATTAATACAATTAAAATTAAATCAGTTCGTTTTAGTTCAATTCAGCTTTTATTATATCTGAGATACTAAATTTCCTATTTAACTATTTCCTATTTAACTGTATTGTATTTTTTTTATGACTCAAATTTCGATTTCTTATCTTATCAGTCTAAGGCTGGTTGAGTGGTATTTTTTCAACTGGCTGTAAGCAGCAAAGGTTCATTTTCATCGCTCGATGAGAATGAATTTCTAATTAAAGGTAAAATTCAAGTGGCTGTTGAAATCCACCATCATTTCTGCAAAAATGACCACAAAAAGTCGCACTTTATTCCGCGTTAAAATTTTATAAATTGTGTGAGCTCAGATTTTACTTGTGCTTTACAGAACTCTAAAAGAAGATTATAGGGCGATGCAGAAAATTTGCATTGTGTTGACTAAATTCGAAAAATAATCGCTTAAAATCGAGTTTTCTTGATTTATTTTAAATATTTATTATTTAGGCCGACATATATAACATTTTAATTCCAAAGTTGACATTACCAAACAATTGCAATCAGTAAGTTGTTTTATTATTTTTCATGCGCTTTCATATGTCTATGAAATATTTTCTGTTTTTTTTTAATTTTCTTATTTTCAATTTATTGAAAAGGTTTTAAAAAATGCAATTTTAAAAAAATTTTACTTTTCATCTTTTAGATAGATTTTGTTGAGTTGGTGAAATTTTCATGAAAAGTTTTTTTGAATTTAAAAATCTATTTTTGAAAATATTCGAATGAAAAATTTATACCAACGTGACGCCAATAAAATAAAATAAAATATTCTTAGGAAAAAATTGGACGACACACTTTTTCATTGGAATAGTTTTTTGCAAATATGGAATCAGCCTGAATTCAACGAAATATCAGATGGAATTAGTTTTGATCACTTTTATCATTTCGCATATTTTTCAATTTCGAACGATGGAATTGGTTTCGATGATTTTCATGTTTGTGATAAAAATTTTTCTGACAATTATCTAATATCCTTGCCAAACATATTTATTTAATATTTCCGATTACAATCAGTTGATAAGCTGCAAGAACGAAAGGTAAAAAAAGCACTTCGCAGGAACAATCCACTCCTACTATCAATTTTTTCATTTAGGCCCTTCGAATGATCGAATAAAAATTATAAGGATTTTGAGGACAATGTTGGGAAATTTCAGAGCGTTGATCTTCCATCTGAACACACGCAAAATTCGGAAAATGGGCAACAATTTCAACCTTATAAAGAAGCATATAATATCTGTTTCGATAGTCCATTTTTATTTCTTATCGTGGAATTACATTACAATATTCCTTTAATAATAGGGAGTTATGCAGGTGAACCAGCCTTGTTAAAAAGCCAAACTCGAAAATATCGCAAGAAAGAGGTTATATGCTGCCTGTGTTAATTGTTTTTACGAGGAAAATTTGAATCGTTTACTATTATGTTTGTTGGTTCTTTGAAAAAAACGTCCCGTAATGCAATATCTATAAATGGTAACCAACAATGGTGACTTTTGTTTATTTCCTGAAAGTTCTCAAAGATAGATAAATTGAACGTAAGGAGTAATCAAGTGATTAACATTGAAGAAATTTGTTAGGCTCGCTGTGTTACTAACATAAAGGAATTTCGCCATAGTTAGAGAAACCGCAGATACTCGGAAATACTCCGAGGTTTTCATGCTATATTTAATTACTTAACTACTGGTGTTGACGCTGGAGACGGAAAATGCTTGGATTTGGTGGAATTTTGTTTTTCGGCCACGTTTGTTTAGTTTCTTAATTATTATTCTATTTTCAAACCTTACAAAAAAATAAAAATTTGTGTGGTGCGAGTAAAAATCTATAGAAATCTATAGACTTCAGCTGCTGAATTAACATTTTTTTAAAATATTAAAGAACTTCGATACATCCAAATTCCAGGGTAATCCAGAAAAATTATGCATCTGGAATTTTATTCTTCATTTTTCCACAAAATTAATACAATTATTTATAAACAAAGTTTGAATCGGAGAAATAAAAAAAATGGCTTTTATGAACGGAAGCTGCGAAAAAGAAAGTATTTTCAAAAAGCAAATTCCAAACATTTTTAAAATAAGCGTTATATTATCTTCTTTACTACTATTACTAAGAGGTATTTATTACTATGAGGTAATAATAATGGTAGTAAATTGGTAATACTTATTAGATAATAGATAATATTGACAATAAAAGTAACAACATGAAAAATAACAAGAAAAGTAGAAGTAACAAAATTGATAGGTTATAATAACGTGAACAATAGTAAAAAAACAATAAAAAATACAAATAATAAATAACAAAAAAAATCACATTAATGGATATTTAATAAAATATAACAATATAACAATTATAAATATAATATATCTTTTCGGATTCGGTTAAGTCTAATAATGAAGCGAAAATTAATTTAAACAAATAATAATAATAAATAATAATAGTTAATAATAATAACAACAACAATATATAATAATAATAACAGTATATAATAGTTAATAATAATTAATAACAATATATAATTAATAATAATTAATAGTAATAATAATAAATAATAATAACAATTAATAATAATTAATAATAATAATTAATGATAATAATGAGCGGAAATTTAAATAAATAAATGAATAAATATGCAATTATCGAATTTATAAGCGCAAATATAATTATAAATATAAATGATTTTATTGATTTAATACTACAATTTAATTTATTTTTTATTTTACGCTTCGTTTTTTTTGGGAATTTTAATTTATTTTTGTTATTTTAATTTTAATTTGTTATTTTTCATTTTTTTGTTTATTTTTTTTAAAATTTTTTGGAATTTTTGAATTTATATAAAAAACCACCGAGTAAAATAACTGACAATAAATTCACCGATATTTAATTTATAAAAAATGTAATATTTAATTTATAAAAAGTATAAAAAATGGAGAGGGAACGAATGACTTTTGAGGTACTCGACGCGAGATAATCTTCTTCGCACCATAACTGATTGTGTTCGATCCTACTGCTTACAGAAAGTAACAGGAATAAGATGCCTCCAAACTGCTCGATCCAATGCCTTTTTAAGATTCAAAGAAGAAGTTTTACGAAAATTCCTCTTTGAATTCCGACGTGCTGAAATCTTTTAGTCGTTTGTCTCAAGCAACTGAGCGAATAATCGCAAAACTGGTGAGCTTCCAGGTGAAAAAAGATATCGAATAACTATCAAGCGGAAAAAATAAAAATAAATAGGTACGGAGAGGTGAAATAGGTTTAAATAACAGCAAAAAGAAAGTAATAAAAAAGTGTGGATTTAAATTTACAGTTTCTTAAAGAAGCAATAAGAGATGTTCCGTGAAATGAGCGAAAAAATTGAATCCATACTTATACTTGGCCTTTTTTACTTGGCCAAAAAAGAGCGCTTTTTTCATTGAGCAGAGACAAATGTCAAACTTTAGGATTGACTGAAGAAGAATTCTCGTGGATTTCGTTTAGTTAATATCATCGAAAGGTAGAAATATTCAATAAATAACTTGCATACATTATCACCTAATTAACATCGACATTTCTTTCTACTATTGAACACTTCGTTGTAAAATTCCTCTACCATCATCGCTTCAACTTTTACACATTTTTCTACCTTGCCGACTACCCCAACTATCTAAGCTATTATAAAGAGTGATGGTTCTTTAAAAATTACAAAAAATAAAAAATCGACTGTTCACAATTGCCTTAATTTAATTATCATTTTGAGCAATTGGAGATATGACCGTTGTTCCTCACGACCACAGATTTTTCCTCTCCCACACGCATTAATATTTTCAGATTATTAGTGATTAGATATTTTCAGATTATCAGTAAAGTATGCAGTGCCTCAAATAATCCACAGATGGCACTTTCCATTACTGAACCACTGTATAAATCTATATTAAATTTAACAAAGGGGAATAATGTCAAACATATTATATTAATTAATTTAAATCTGATTTATTTATTTATTAATCAATATTAATTAATAAATTTTTGCAAATTTTGCAAAATAATATGAAACGGCATTTCGCTATAAGCAACAACCAAAAGAATTATTCGTCAATTTCCCTCGAGGAATGAAAATTAGGAAAGCACTGCGAAAATTTGTTAAATTTATTAAATGAGTGGTAAGCAAAATAAAATATTTCGATAAATGCAGATAGTAATTTTTTTTCGCTTCTACTGTGAAATAGCCTTGAAGCGACGATTATTGCTATATAAGTTCACTTATTCGGAAGAAAAAAGCAATAAATGTTATTCGAAGGTGAAAGAAGGCTGTGGAGGATTTGCTGCTTCTAGATTGGTTTGCGAGAGACTTGTTGGTTTTTAGTTGGCTTTTTTCCTTTCTAATTCCAAATTCTTTCAGTTCTATGTGTAGTAAGGCATTTCATTTATAGTTCTGCGATCCTTTCGATTTGGATGATTACGTAGAAAATTTGTTAAATTATACCACTTTCATGTATTTCTTTTGGATAAATTTGTTTGTTTTTCAAAAAACAATTTGTTTTATGAATTGGCGAATGAATTGCATTAAATAGGAGATTTAATGGCAGAAGATTTTTCTGCAGTTCAGTAACCAATATTCTCGTAATGCACGATGATACGATAGAACCTCGCTGAAAATTGCATTTTTCAGTGAGATAATCATCTGTGCTAAATTAGCAGTTCCATGGACATGTCTACTCAGAAATTAAATTTCAGAGTAGATGGTATACTGAGATCTACATTTTTTCTCTTTTTCCTCTTTGCTCGCCATTTTCGAACTGGCTGGCTAATCCACTATCGAAATCTTTTCATTAATAACCCATATGAACCTATAATGACAAAGTTTGGTCAAAGGGAAAAGGTCCAAACGTAATACGATATGTAACACTGATGTTGTCATTATGAAGACAGTAGCTGTGCCAAACGTCTGCTTACAGGCATTTATTTTTGCAATTATTCTTCCTAAACAAATTTCGCTTCCAAATCATAAATATATAAAATTATAAATATAAATTGTATAAATGCAAATATAATTTTATATATATTTCTAAATATATTTATATTAATTATAATTTATATTTATAAATTTATAAAATCAAATATTTTCGCTTTTTTGCCGTTCAAAATCAACTTTATCTATTCAATTGATTTTACGTGACAGCAATAAATTGGCTTGTACATTTCTGGCTACAAATCTTTTATCAGGTACTTTTATCAATTTCTGTAATGTTTCATTGCTTCTTCATTGATAAAATAGCGAATGAATTCGATGAATTCTTCGGCCAAGAAATGAAAGCGATTTTCCCTATTTTTATTAGGTAATCTTACGCAATTACGTGGATAATATACGATTTATTTTTCCAAACCCACAAAGTGGGTTCTGAAATTTATATTCTAATCTTTTTCAGGTATATTTCAAATTATTTCAAAATTATTATTATTTTGTAAGTAAAATTTAAAAATTTTTTACTATAGTATATTCAAAGCATAAAAGTTTCATATAAAAGGATTTTCATATATTTTTTTATCGTTTGCGGCTTGATTCGTACTTATTTCATATGTTTTGTAAAACTTACACATAATTTCATAATTTAGAAAACATTACATGAAGCTGACGTGAAAAAATCGATCAAGTTGTACCACTCATGTCTGTATATGGTACCATTTGACTGGAAAATTCCCTTCCGACAATTAGTTTTGGTGCCTTTTTTTAACAGCAGCGACCTCATAAATACATCTAAACGTGAAAGCTATCTAAGAAATGTATTACTATTTCAAAAAAATTGCGCTAGCTATAAATGGTACTTGATATTAAGGCAACCAGTACAATTTCTCTGAAATTAGACCAAATGCGCCTAGAAAGGAATAAGCTGAAAAGCTTTAAATAAAGAGCATCGAATGAATTCATAAATGCACTTCAAAGGTAGACTGAGACTAAGGCCCGAAGACAAGTGGAATAATGTTGGCTATGTGAAAGACGACTGGTCGATTAGCTTAAACAAAAATCTAGGATTTTGAGCCTGGACGACGGTCTATGGTGGTACTATTGAGGCAGATGTGGGAAAGAAATCCTGTAAGACTCTATTTGCTCATAGCAACAAAATTTAGAAATGGATAATTGATTTTTCCATTACCATCATCCACGGCCTTATAGCGTGATGTTATATAACTCGCCTAGTTAAAGACAATTTCTATTTTGGGGGAAATTTAGCGACTTAATAAAACATCTGTTCAACTAATTGAAAATATAAATAAGGGTTGAGTCCCAGATTCCTTCAGTCAGTATTGAGCAAAACCCATTCCTTCTTTTCTCTCTTGAAATCCCGCGGCTAATTGCTGAATCCGCATTGCCTTTAATTCGTTCAAATGAAAAAATCTTTCGCTGTGAAGAAAG